ATGGTGCGCTCCGGCCAGCTGTGCGCCGCCGAGTGAGGCGCCAGCCCGTGGGTGCTGCCGGGGGCGGCGGCGTGGAGGGGGCGCCCGCAGCTGGCGGCGGCGCGGGCCGCGGCGCTCGGCTCGCGGCGGGGGGCGAAGGTGAGGACCGGAGCGCGCAGGGCTGGCGCTGCTCGCGGCGCCCGGCCCCGTTCCCCGTCCGCGGCGGCCCTGCCACCGACCCCGGGTCCCTGCCGGCAGGCGCTCGGGGAGGACCGGGCGGCGGCGCTGCTGCTGGCGGCGGCTGCCTGGATGCGAGACCCGCGCGGACCCGGCGGACGGCGGCTCTCGACTCCGGAAAGCGGATCGCGGAGCGGACGAGCCCGGGCGCGCTGGCCATGGCCTCCAACTTTAACGACATAGTCAAGCAGGGCTACGTGAAGATCCGCAGCAGGAAGCTGGGGGTGAGTTGCTCGCTCGGCTTTCTCCTCCCCGGCGCTCGTCTGGCCCGGCTGGCAGCCGGATTGGGGGCAGGGGCAGGTGGCAGGGAGAGGTGACCCGCGCGGGGACAGGGCAAAGAGGAGCCCGGCCCTCCCGCAGACAGCCCGCTTGTTGCTCGGCCGGCCTGGGGCCGCACCTGCCGGGGGCTCTGCAGAGCGGGCCGAGGGCTCCGCAGCGCCGCGGTCCCCGTCCTCGAGTGCGCGGGGCCGGTTTCGACCATGCCGCGAAGTCAGTAGACGAAAGGGATTGTCAGTTCCAAAGAAAAATGTGCCTCGGTGGAGATTTACGTGCGGTGCTTTCCACAGTGGTCTGTTCGCAAAAGTGAGCGCCTTTCGCGCAGACCTGCTCCGTGTGCAGGAGCATGTGCGTCTGTGTGTGTGTGTGAGAATCACCATCCTCTGGTCCCCGCTTCCCAGGCTCATTTCGAAATTCTTTTTCTGCGCTGCCGGCTAAGGCAAGCGGCTTCACGCGCCCTTAGGGTGCCCGCCGGCAGCCCCCGCCCTGCGTGCGCCCGTGCGCACCTGCGCCGTGTGCGGGAGCAGGTGTGTGCCCGCGCTCGCCCGCTGACGCCGAGAGTCCGCGAGAGCCAGGTTCATGGAGACCTTTTCCCGCTTTCTTTGGAGAGATGCTCAGCCTGACTCGGGAAGGAAACAGTGTAGACCCCAGGGGCTCAAAACTTCGTGGGTGAACGGTCGGGGTGGAAAGAGGGACGCGCTGAGTGGGGGACTTGGGCGTGGACGGGAGGGGGCGGGAGAGGACCGAGCGGCACCTGGGCAGAGAGCTGTCCGGGCTTAGGACGCGAGGGGGCGGGCGGAACCACGGGGACCCCCCCTCCCGCCGCGTCCCTCCCCCAGGAGCGCGCCATGGGGACGTAAGGCGACAACCGAGACCCGCCAGGGCGGCCGGTCCAGGGGAGGGACCGTTTTCGGTTTCTCCGGTTGTCTCTCTTCCTCACTGTCCTCAAAGTCCCAGTTCTGCGAAGCTCTGGAATCCTGAGGCAAGGAGACCTCGAGCTAGAACCTTCCCTGTGTTCCCTGCTGAGTGGACGAATACCCAACTTGAAGAAGGAAAGAGGGAGGGAGAAGTCCGCTAATTTTCACATTAAAAAGAAAACAAAAGGAATGTCGCGTCAGAGAATTGGACGAAGGCGCAGTAGAGTCCAGAAGAGAGGCACGATCCCCACGCACCCAGAAGTCGCGTCGTCGGAACCTTCGGGGCAGGTGCCGGGATCCGAGGAGGGGAAAGGCAGACTTGCCCGTGGGCTGCCCCTGCCGGCTTCCGCGCTCCAGGTGCAGACTGCAGCCCAGGGACGGCGGGGCCCGTCCTGGAACTCCGGCCCTCTGTGGAGGCCGCGAGGCTGCGAGAGGACGCGCACAAAGCTGGGTGACGGCAGCGCCCCTTCCCCGGCCTAGAGCTGCTGTGCGCCCAGCGGGCCGGAGGGAGCAGGCGCTGGGGGCGGCCCTCAGCCGGGATGCAAGGGCTTTTCTTGGGTAGAAGAGAGCGTCTCATTCTTTTCCAGGGAGACAAGGACGTACCCGGGGGAAAGCTGCGGTTGTCCAGGGGGCCGGTTGTTCCGAGCAGCCGGGACGCAGTGCTCAGACCTGTCACCCGCACAGCCGTCAGCCCAAAGGAGGTGGGAGCTAGAGCTGCACGGGAGAGGCGTCTTCCTAACTTGACCTTTGAAGCCCTTTGCTCTCCCACCAGGTGCTTGCCCATCCTTCTCGCCCTTCCGTCTTCTTGCAATCGCAGTCGTGTCTGACACCTCAGACTGTATAAACTAATGGATGAATTAAGTCCCCAGGCGAGATGTGTGTCTGCTTTCACGGAGTCGCCGTGCACATGAAAATGAAACCGAGAATCCCATTCCTGCTAGTGCACTTGGCCTTGGAGTCTAGGGATTCCTTCCCCATCCAAGCTTTCCAGGATTTCATACAATAAAAACCAAATATGTAACCTCATTATAAGATGGGATCCAAGGAAAGTGCGTTGAATACTTCTTGGGTAACTATAGTATTAACACTCTTTGAAATGTCATTTTAGAACACCGTTACCACCTAATGATGTGTGCTAATGTACATTTCTACCTCCAAAGCGTCTTTTTCTATACACACTGTTTAGAGCTTTCCCTTTGTAAAGTGCAGCCTTCATAGAAAACAATAAAAGCGTGTTTATATTCAAATTAGTTGCTTCTGTTTTACGTTTCTACCTGAGAAATAGGAACTTCAAAGTTGCTGTTGAAACACTTTTGTTTTAATATTAAATCAAAATATTAAATTTGCCTTGAGAATTTAGAAAATATTTATTTTTAAAAAATGTAGAGACTTTTCTACTCAGAATATTCTAATATTCAGAAGAGTGGATTCAAACGACAAAACTTCACACAGATGATTCTGCGAAACTTAATAAGTTGAGTCCCGTAAAATAGTAATACTAAGCAAATATTGTGTGCCTTAAAAAAGTCATAGTCCAAATGATAAAAATGGGAATTATCCAAACAAATTAATATTTTGTGTGTATACTTAATAATACATATTCCTAATTTTATGAACTTTTCCAAATAAAATATTATTTTTAACTCTACGGAGACATGATTCTCATGTGATTTATGTCCAAAACTAAATTTCAAAGTATAAATGATGCTTCTGATGTATGTATAGATATTTCATTTATTATGGACAAACCTCATGCTTTCAAAAATCAAGTTCTGTAATATTCCAATGGAAGAAAGTCCTGGGCGTGAGGCCAGTTGCATCAGAGATAATCGTGACATGAAACGTATTTTATGATGAAATGTTCTTATGTGCTCGTTAGACCTCACAAATTAATGTTTAGTGTAATTCTGAATAAGGGCAGTAAGGCATTTCTTGCCCTGTAGGCAGTGGGCCAACCCTCACAGAGGCACTTCCAGGCTTAGGTGGTAGAAAGGTCCCTTGCCCTGTGTCTCCTTAGAGAATCTAGTCAACCTGTTGAACACTGTCCCTTAGCCCACTGTTAGGGCAAAGCAGTAAGTGTTAAAGAAATTTTGAGTGTTGGCTTTAAAATTTGTCTTGACTCATTAATCAGCTTTTTCTCCCATTTAGGAAAATAATTTTGAGAAATAAATAGAATAGTTTTTTTGAATTTTACTATTGCTTTTTAAAATGTTAAATCATAAAATTTTTATAGGTATTAAGTTGTTAAAAGTATAATGACATGACTTATAAAGAGTCATTTCTTTAAATTCTGTAGTAGATTTTTGTCCTAATATACCAGTTTCTATGAATATATTGTTTTCTTTTTGCCAGATTTAGAATTGTCTAGTTTTTCTACCCATTTTACCTGTCACATGATTGGTATCATAACTCACAAGATACCATTGTGGTTAGTTTTTTGGTTTTTGGGTTTTTTTTTTAAGAAAATGGTGCCTAAAAACACTAGTAAAAATACAACAAAAGCAAGCATATTGGTCAACATTGTTTATCTCTTAGGCTTGATTACCTATTTTGTTCTGATCTCTGATTGGTTAAATTTAGTAAGCAAGGCATATTGCAAAATATCCAATCTGTTCTTGGTGCACAGCCAAACTAAGAACTCAATCATTGAAAGCATTGATAACCTAATACTTTGTTTATTGACATTGTAAGTTCATCAAAAATAAATGCAGCATTATGGAGTGATATCATCATCATCATCATCATCATCATCAACATTATTGTACAAATTCCAGACTGCTAAATTTGACTAATTCTAGACTCAGGCCTCACATCATTGTTACCAAGGAATTCTATTCAAATACGTCAATGTGAATATCCACAGACACATACAGAATCGTATTTTACACAGGTAGAATCGTATTTTACACAGACTTTTTTCTATTTCCTACTCAAAATTAGGTCAGAGATTGGTATTGCTATACGGTATTGGTACAATATGTGCTCAAGAAGTGTCTCATGATAAGGTGGGGTGTGTGTGTGTATCCATTTACACATTCAACAGATTGAATTATCCTGGAGTGCTTACTGCTTATCAGGTGGTGTACACTGGTGTGTGTGTGTGTGCGCGCGTGCGTGCATATGTGTATTAAACCAGGGTTATACAATAAATAACCCCTACATTATTACTAATTATAGTACATTGGGCCAGTAATCGTCACTTGTTCCAACTTGGT